GGCAGGCATTTCGTACTATAAATTTCACCGTTCACGGCCAGTCCGGAGCGAAAGAAGAGCGGCTTTGACATCCCCTTCTCGCTGATTGTCAGCCACAGCAGCACCTGCTTGGGGAACTTGGTGTGTGAAATGAACTTCACCTCGGAGCTCACTTCCTTCGTGGGGGAAGTAAAATACGAAGTGCCCTGCCAGTCGTTGCCATCCAAGGTGAGATAGGTCTCGTCGTCCATCACCGCCGCCACGTCGCGATTCGCCGGGAAAAACGAGTTGACCATCTTATTCAGCCGCTGCCGCTGCGTCATTGCCTGCAGCTCCGAAACCAGTGGACGAGAGTTCCGCTTCCTGACATGTATGTTCATGTTCGCCAGGTACTATTTCACTGTTTGACCGGTTGCACCGACCTCCCGGCCAAGCGCACGCAGCGATGTAGCCACTTTTCCCTCGATCTTCCTCTTCAACATCCTTTGGAGCTTCTTGTCGCTCAGCGTCGTCGGCCGTCCGGAACCGCGATTTCTTTCGATGCTCTGATTGTTGTCTAATAGTGCCAAGATGTTGTAGATGCCGGAACGGGCGTATCCGGCGTCCACAAAGTGCCGCCCGATGTCCGTTTTCGACGCGGCGGGGTGCCGTTCTTTGAACGCGCACACTTCTGAACGGAGTTGCTTCACTGTTTTTGCCATCACCGTTAGAGTTCGACTGATAGGGCTGTCAAATTTTGTCTACTGACTCATGGGTTACTTGATGATTGATGCTGCATGGGTAGTTTCGTCAGTGCGGGTGAAGGTAAACCCATGAAAAATCGACAATTTTTGTCGATTTTTTTAAATGCAAACGTTAGTATAATTGAACACTGATACAATTTCAAAGATTGTTTTTATGTGTCCCACAAATGAGTTTTTGCAATGTGATCAACAAATGATATCGATGTGTCGAACACATACTTAAAAGCCATGTGCATCCACACATACTATTCATTTGACTAATAAATTTCATGTGTGCTTCTGGGTGGATTCTGTTTATGTGTGGTCACATGAAAATCATGTGGAATTTAACATGGAAATTCGTCAATAAAAATGTGTGGAATTCTTTTAGTGAAGGATTTCACCAAATTCCTCCCAATTTCCCGAAATTCCTAATTGATAGATAAAAATGGAATGATCTCACCAAAACTGGTCTGCTTGACTGTGATCATAAACTTTTCCGGACTTCTCTATTGCACGATTTTCTTCAATAGCCCTTTAGCTGCTGTCTGTAGTCCTCCGCCAAACGCTTCGTCTTCATCACACACCTTTTTGATATTATGTCAAGGGCATTTAATTAAAATTCTTGGCAACCCTTAACCTACATATCTTTTCCTAGGGCTTCTTTTACCGTTATCTAGCAAACATTTTCAATCAGATTTAAAATTTTACTGTCAAATCAGCACTCTTATCGAACCTGCTCAATCAACCTCTCACAAACCATCTCCTCATATTAATCCACAAAATTATCAAAAATTACCCGGTGGGAAAAGATGATGAAATTTTGCGCTCATTTTTATCAAAACAAACACACCAAAATCAGAGATGTCCCATTTTTTAATTATTCGATTAACAACTAATCGATTATTTTTTGTTCGCTGTGCTGTCATTTTTCCACCAATGAGAGTGCAGCACATGTTTGAAACGATCGGTGATGATCCTCTGGAGATGTTAATGCTTATATCGGCATGATATAACCGATTACAATTATTTTACTTTTCGGTTCGTTAACACTCCGAATTCGATGCCTCCGAAAAACGTGTGACGGCAAGTTTGCAATGGCATAACTTAGCCATTTCTTAATGAATTTCAAAAATTATAGTACCTTCAGAATTTCTAGGGTTTGTAGATGATTTTGATTGCAAGGAACCATGACTGTTTTCTGGCTAATTGTGAATATTTGCCCATTAATCTAAATTACAGATCTTGCAACACTTGCAAAACCCTACAAACACAGACAAACAGACGTAACTCTTTGAAAAAGTTTTTCTTGGAAACATAGTATGTCAAAACATAGGATCTCAGTAACGACATCTCTCGGGCTTCTCGCGGAAAACAAGCTTGCTCGCTAACTCGCTAACAATGTTGCATAAAAGTTCTATAGAATGTGTAGAAACGTCAAAGTGATTCGATGACAGCGCTGCGGCGAGTAGTTCGTGGAACTGAATTGTTTACATATGCAAAATTTCATACACGGCGCATGAGAACGACCCAAATTTGAGTTTACTTCACTCATAATCGCCAAAAGTGCAGGAACTCAGCGATGAGTTAATTTGCCTCATGTTTTCCCAGGTTTTTCCAGGATTTTCCAGGGAAAAATTCCCGAATTTGAGAAAAGTAAAGATTGGATTCACTCAGTCTATTGGTACTACTTCGAGACTGAATAAAATTTTCGTCAATTTCCTCATTTTCCGGCAGATTTTTTAGGTTTTCCACAGGAAACCATGAGACAAATTTTACTCATCGCTGAGTTCCTGCACTTTTGGCGATTATGAGTGAACTAAACTCAAATTTGAGTCGTTCTCATTCGCCGTGTAACAATCGGTTCAGTGGTTATTGAGATGTCATCGAAACAAGAAGAAAATCGCCGGAGAATTTTGCACGCCGTCATGGAAAATCCGACCGAGACCATGAGATGGATCGGAAGACAACTGGGAATCACCCATACGACTGTGTCTCGCGTGGTAAAATCGTTTAAGGAGTCCCAGACGACCGAGCGGCGGGCTGGAAGTGGAAGAAAATCGAAGACAGCTGACCCTGTGAAGGCCCGGAAGGTGTTGGATTATTTCAAGCGTAATCCGAACCTTTCGATTCGCGACGCGGCTCTGAAGGCAAAGTGTTCCGCCTGGTTCGTTCAGCAAACCATGAAACGAGCTGAGCTTCATGCATTCTAGATCCGGAAGGCACCGAACCGGCGTGAAAAACAAAACACGGCGGCCAAATCCCGCGCAAGGAAGCTGTATCGAGAGTGGTTAACGAAACTGATGTGTGTGGTTATGGATGACGAAATCTACATCAAGGCAGACGCAAAGCAGATACCGGGGCTGGAGTTCTACGTTGCCAAATCACGGTTTGATGTTCCGGAAGACATAAGGAAGAAGAAAGTGGACAAATTCGCCAAAAAATACTTGCTCTGACAGGCCATATGCCAATGCGGTTTAGGAAGTGTCCTTTTTGAGCCCTACCGGAACCAGTTCCGGGTTTCCGGATATGGCCAGATTCACCTTACGGTCCATGGTATGATGTATTTTTACTTCTGTTTGAAAAATCATCATAATTTGAGCCGTCGAACGGTACCAGTATATGAAGTTTTGAAAACGGTGTCAGGTAGCCTAAATGGCCAAATTTTAGAAAAAAAAATCTGGCCAGGGTTTCATTCTACCGTATGCGTGATAATGTTTGCACCATCGTACAAATAAGGTTCCCGTTTCACCTGTGCATACAATGCCTTGGTTTTCTTTGCATGCACGTAACCTATAGCTCATACCGTAGTAGGCTGTGTATAAAAGAAAATGATTTACTTAGTTTGACAGTTGCACCATGACGAAGTGGCAGCGTATTCGTGATTTGTCCCACGCGCAAATGTCGCAAAAAGACATTTCAATCGCCGTGGGAGTGTCCCGGTGGACCCTCAAAAGGGTTTTAGACCGAGAAAAGAAATGACAACTATCCGCGAAGGTGACCACAAGCCATCCGAGGTCAGCTCGGGTTCCGAGGGTTATCGATGCTATCAAAAGGATGATTCGGGTGAATCCAGTGCGTTCAATAAGGAAAATGGCAAAGGAACACGGGATCAGTGACTTTACGGCACGAAAGATCGTAAAGGAAGATTGCGGGGCGAAGTCGAGGGCACGGAAAAAAACTCACATGATTACCAACCGCATCCGGGACCTACGAGTCGAACGATGCAAGAAAATCTTGAACTTCCTTAAGCGAAAAAAATCCGATTATCCTGTTCACCCACAAGAGCATGTTTACCGTCGATCCCGTATCAAATTCCAGAACCGACCGGTATATTAGTTCTCTTCCGGTAAAAGACGCGGCCGACGAGCACAAGAACGTGTATCTGGCCAAGCATCCTACTAGGGTTATGGTGTTTGGATTGGTGGCTTCCGATGGCAAAAAAATGGACCCGGTGTTCATTCCAGAAGGCGAAAAGGTCCACACGACGGTCTACATCGGGATTTTAAGTAAGTATGTTCTTCCGTGGATCAAAGAACAGTACGGTCCGAAGCCAAATGTTGTATGATGGGGCTCCGTGCAACACCTCGAACCGCACTCAGAAGTGGTTGCAGGAACATTTTCCGTTCTGGGCGAAGGATATGTGGCCGCCATCCAGCCCCGATCTCAATCCGTGCCCCGATTGCTCAATATGGCGCGTCATGAAGACCAAGGCCTGTTCTAAGCGCCACCCAAGTACAGCAAGCCTCAGACAAACAGAGAAATTGATCCAGACTAGAATTATTAGAACCTGCCGTGCATTCCGGACGCGTGTGGAGGCCGCAATTGCAGCAAGTGGAAACTCGATCGATGATTAACATAGTTTAAGACTCTGAGAAACATCCCCCCTTTGAATAAATAGAAAAAAAAAACTCGAAAACGAAATGTTTGAGAATTTTTTAATTTTGACATTGCACAATGGTGCAAACATTATCACGCATACGGTAGGTACCTTCATCTTTCATTTGAGGCCAATAGATCAAGAATCGTTTCAAAAATTGATTTTTGAAAGCGAGTTGCAGTTTGGGTCTTTTTTGACCCGCTAATGCACAATGTGTAACTTTTTCCTAATGCATTAGGAAGGTTAAAATAGTTCAAGTTTGCCAAAATTGAGGAAATTTTGGATTTCGGTTCCATTTTCAATGCAAATTACGAATATGCCTTAAACTAAATATCCCTAAAGAATCTAATTATCAAAATAAAGACTTAAATAGGTAAACAAAATACGTAAAGTTCACAATTTCCACTCACAAATTCCAGGCCTCATGACTCTGCTGACCAGTGGCATGATCACCGGTTCCATAATTTTCAACATGGATCTGCAGCATCAACCGTGGACCTTCGATCACTCGGACAGCGTTGTCCTGGTAGCCTCGATCATCTTCTACGTGGCGGCCGTCATCGGAACGCTAGCCGGGTACTTCCTCGTCGATCGTTACGAGAAGAAACCTCTCTCTGTAAGTATAGTACAAGAAGCCTGCTTGAACCTTCGATTGTAGCTTATCCCTTTCACAGAAAGTCTACCTGGTACTCACGACCTTGGCCTGCATTCTTCTCATAATCTATCCGGATATTCTGGTGGTTGTAGCTTTTTCTCGCAGCCTGTTAGGCCTGGCACATGGAATGGCCTACATGATCGTCGTGATCCACGGTGGCGAGATTGTCATCAAAGATATCCGTGGAATGAACATCTCCGCCGTTAGCTACTGCATTATGATAGGAGCGCTGAGTCACGGGGCCATCAGTCCTGGAGCGACCTACGAAGTGATGGACCCTAATCGGTTGGTTGGAATCCTTGGACTGATTTATTCCGCAATGGGAGGACTGATGGCGCAGTTTCTAACGTACGAATCACCGGTGTTCTTACTGCAACAAGGATGCGATGCGGATGCAATTAAGTCCATGATGAAGCTGAGAAACGAGTCAACCGAAACATGGGACATTCGGAACGATTTGACCGAGTTCAAGACGATGCTGGACGAGGATAGGGAAACTTCACGATCGATCCTTAAAGATGGGAATGTGCGGCCTCTAGTGTTGTTGTCTCTGTGCAAGATCGCGTCCGTTCTGTCGTTCAATATGGCACTGAATTTGGTTCGGCTGCACTTGCTGGATCAACTGTTCGGGCTCGAAGAATACAGCATGTCGGCGGTGGTGATTCTCATGGTGAGAATCTTGCTCGGAATGACAGCTTTTTTCTCGATCGACAAATTCGGACGGAAAGCGACCATGATCGCATCAACGTTCGGCAGTGGGATCATTCTGACGATCTTGGGAATGATCTACCTGATTGCATATTCGGTCAACAGAGATGTTGGGATCGCCTTCGTACTGGCATACGAAGTGTTCGCTTCGGCAGGAGTTGCCTTCGTCCCGGATGTGTACTGTTCGGAAGCATTCAGCACCAAGAAGAAAGCTGCGTCGATCGGGGTGGTGCAGACGGTGGAGAATGCACTGCAGATTATGATCACTGCGATTGTGTTCACGTGGGACTTCAAGAGCCTCGATAGCTACGGTGGAGTGATGATGACTTGTGGAGTTCCGATGCTAGTGTTGGCCGGTGTGTTCTACCGATTTCTGCCGGAGACAACCAAAATGACGATTCGTCAGTCGCGAACCGAGTTCGCCAAGCGGGGTGAAATCGTTTTCGGCGGGACCAAACGACCGATGACGCAGTTGAATGAATAAAGTTTTAGATCGCTGACTATCCGGTAGTCTTTGGGTTCTTGTGGATTGATGTCCTTTACGATTAGAAACTGCTAGCTGCGATTGAACCATAGAGGTAACTCTAAGACTAGAAGGTTCCGAAATAACGTGCTCAACTTTTTGGCTCAGCTCTGGTACTCTCTTCGGTCCCAAGCTAAGCGATTCACCCCTCGAAACATATGAAAATCCACTAACCCCTCATTTTATCTGTCAACCTTTCATAGCTAATCAAAACAAACGGCTAGAATGGGGTACGTTAATCGTTTGCTTGGGACGAATAGGCTAGTCAAGTAGTGAGCCAATTTAAAATCGTTAGTTTCGTATTGATTGTTGATTGAACTCTCGGTGGAAAAATCTGGACCCTTCACCCTCAATCGTAGCATCCGAGCTCATAGTACATACTGACAGACAAAGACGCCTGCTTCGATCGACCTCGTGATCCTACACCCCAAGCAACGAGCGTGGTGCATGGGAAACAAGTTTTCTCAAACATAAATTACGTAGGCATTACCTGTTTTCTACCTGTAGTTACGAGCAGCAAGAACCAGGCAGCGGTGGGAGGAAGGATGAGGCGAAACGAAAAGGATCCCTTTCCAATAGATTGACTGACGTGATCACGATAGTCATGCTGCTGATGATGATGATCGTTTGAGAAAAGGGGGAAAATCAAAATTAAAAGGAAGCCCTCCGGGGTTCAATTCCCGGTTCAATGGAAACGACTGCGAGTAGGGTCGTAAAGAAGGACGAGAGGCTGGGTGCATAATAGCTTTTTTTTTGGGTTCTTCCTCTTTTTGTAGGGTTTTAAATATAAATCAATTCAGCTGAGGCTTTTGCAGGAATCGTCCGGGTAGATGCTGTTGTACACCTGCAGATCATTGCATTCATGGTGCTAGAATAATGGGCCCCTAAATGCGAGGGAGAACGAGGGAATAGTGAGAACTGTCAAAAATTGGAAATCGGGGGTTGAAATCAGGTTGATGCGTAGAACCTGATCGTTAGTTCGGTTAAGAGATTTCAATTTTAGAGCTCTGCCTCTAGGGATTGTCTTTTGTATCGGAAATCAATTCTTGTCTGTAATTTAAGTGCTGAGAATGTGCTGCAATGCGTAAATTACTCAAACGGTCTCGACTTTGCCCAGGTGTGGCCTTTGTTTCCACAACCAGTTCCAAACTGGAACGCTGTAGAGCGCATAGGTATGCTGATTCAATTGTTCATTCACAAAAATGAGTGTATGCTTGCATAACTCGCAGATCGATTTTTGGGGATCCCAGTTGGCCATGGTCAACCGCACCGCACCGATCGATACAGTCGAAGTTGGCATTGGAAAATTACCGCACCTTTCGTAATGTGAGCTGGTGAGAGCAAATATTTACCGGCTTCGGCGATCGTCCGAGTGATCACATTTCTTTAGGATTCAACACCGAGTGATCGGTGGTGGTGTTAGCACCTTTTAGTACATTTGCCGCATTGAATCGATGATCATTCCTGCTATTAGTGTAAAGGCATCCGGTTATATCTGCGGCTGTGAAATGAGTCGACTTGATGGACAACAGCATTGCACAATGGGCCAGAAATACAATCTAGCGGGACAAAATGAATCTCTTAACAAAATAAACAACACTCTTCTATAGACGTCAAAATGTCACAGCTTAAGGTACGTTTAGGCCGTTCGCAATGCTGTTGTATTTTATAAGGACTGTTTCAATTTGAAACTAGAATAGAAACGCACCTTTCGCAAGGATGAGTTGCAGTTTCATTATTCGAGCACTATTTTGCAGCAGATTTGCAACTGCTCGACTATTCTGTTTTATTTCTGAGCGAGTTTGAAACACGAATGGAACTCTGTTTCAAATTTCTTTGGATGTGTTAAAGATGTTTCGAAGAGCTTCACAAACAAAAAACGGAAAACTTCATAGAGAACAGTAAAGTTTATGGAACTTGATGATTACAAACATCTTTTAGAACTGTGCGTTGCGCTGATCGTGTTGCAGTTTTATTTTTGACAGTTTTAAATTATAGAATTGACGAATAGTGTACAACAATTATGAAACTCAGCATTGCGAACGGCCTTAGACTATCTGATTTTTTGGTCTGATTCGAGCGAACTGCTCGATAATGTTGACGGATGCAATGTTTGGATGCGTACACACTTTTTCGACAGGATGATTAGATTTGACGTTTGATTTGTCGAACGAAATAGGATTGCGTTTAATTTCCATTCGACTCATTCAGCAAAATAGCCGCAAGTTAGGTGAAAATATTGATTTTTTTTTTTCAAAAATTGCACAGATTTGAACCACTAAAGAACGCTTGATTTGCGTTTTGATGGCATCCAGCAGCAACCCTTATAAAATGTGTATGGTTATTTTGCTTAACGACGTGTTCAGGTTATCGTTCGGGTACGGTATTTTTTTTTTAGTTAGGGAAGGTAAACCGATTCCACTATTCAATAATGTCCTGTGTATGGTTTGACTGATTTTTATTTTCCAGTGTGATTGGCCGAAAGATGCCGTAATGGCTTGGATCTTGTCATGGTCAACAAAACAGTGTTTATATAATACAAGCATGTACCCAAGCAACCACAAGTTCGGATAAAAGCCCTTTTTTGGCTTAATCAGCTATTCGAAGGATTATGAAGAGAATTCTATTCAGCTTACTTTTTAAGTATTAAACCGAACTTCCAAGTTCACATTCGATGTTTAAGCTTCTAACAGAACGCTGTTTCACTTTTAAAAAGAACTTGAAAGTTCATAAAAGGATCGTTTAACCGTTGGAAGGAATGCTATTCAGCCCAAAAAGAAAACTTGAATGAAATCAACAATCCAAAATAGAAAACAAATATATCTCCTCTTTGAAACCGAGATACATACTACTGCCAACAATCAATACACAGCAAAAAAAAATGTAATATCGATCAACGTAATTCAAGCTGATGTATGAAATATTGATGTAATAGCAAAACGCATATACAATATTACATCAATGGATGTAATTTTGTTCGCAAAATCGATGTACATTGTACAATGTGATATTACACAACCAATGGATTGACCTGGTTGCAGCAGTTTCGATGTAATATTCAACAACTTTTTTTGCTGTGTACGAAACTAACGATTTTAAATTGGCTCACTACTTGACTAGCCTATTGTTCCCAAGCAAACGATTACCGTGCCCAATTCTAGTCGAAATTCTAGTACTACACAATGTTTGTTATGAAAGCTATGAAAGTTTGACAGATAACATGAGGGATTAGTGGATTTTCCTATGTTTCGAGGGGTGAATCGATTAGCTTGGGACCGAAGATAGTACCAGAGCTGAGCCAAAAAGTTGAGTTCGTTTCTTTGGGACCTACTAGTCTTAGAGTTACCTCTATGCTACTGCTCTATGTGAACGAAGTGGAATATTCAAGGAAGCTCAAATATTTTCAGAAATTTTTTGAGAACTTATGGTAATTGAGAATATTTTCAGAGAAAATTTCATATCTTCAGAGTAGCTCGAGAGCCTGCAGAGGAATTTACAAAACTTCAGAGAAGTTTGCAGATCTACTGAGAAATTTATTGAGCCTTAAGGTTTTTTTTTCGTAGATCTTGAGAATAGAACTACGGAGCTTCAGACAACTTTACAGAACATTAAAGATATTTGCAGGAATTTTTCAGAAAGTTTCACAGGTTCAAAAAAATGTGAGATCTTCAGAAAAATTCTTAAATGTCAGAAAAGCACCTCAATTCCAAAAACAAATCGCAGCGAAATTCAAAAGTCCAAGATTTTGCAGAACTTCATGGAAGTTGGAAATAGATAGATCTGAAGAACTTCAGAGAAGTCTTTAGACCTTAAGAGAAGTCTGTAGACCTTAAGAGAAGTCTGCAAAATGCCAGAAAGTTCGTACATTTTTAGAAAAAAATGCAAAACTTCAGCAAAACTCACAGAACTTCGGGAAAGTTCACCGATCTTTAGAAGTACAACTCCAGAGAAATTCGTAATTCTTCAGATAAATTTTTAAAACTTAGGGCAATTTCAAAGAATTTCAGATAGATCTGAAGAACTTTATGGAAATCCAAGAATCCACAAAGAAATTTACAGAACTTTAGAAAAGTTCAGAGGTCTGGTGAGAAATTTATTGAACTTCAGGGTAGTTCGTAGATCTTCAGAGCAGAAATACAGTACTTCAGAAAACTTTACAGAATTTGATTTTTTTTTTTTTAGAAACTTCAGAAAAGTTCAGAGGGTAGATCGTAAATCTACAGAAAAATCTGCAGATGTTTAAATAAAATTTAAATGATTTTTATTGCGGTTCTTGGATTTTAAGAGAAATTAACAGAACTTCAGGTTAGTCCGCTGATCTTTAGAGATCTTTGCACAACTTCAGAAAAAAAAGTAAAACTTCAGAAAACTTCCGGAAAGCTCAACATTTCTAGATAATCTTTTAATTCTTTAGGGAATTGTGTACATGTTCAGAGATATTTGCAGATATTCATTGAATCATGAAAATCTACAGATAAAATTACAGAACTTTCGAGAAGTTAGTAGTATATTAGAAATTTTGTGAACATCAGAGATAATTGTTGATCTTTAAGGATCTTAAATCTTCAGGGATTCAGGAACATGGTAGATTTTTAGGTAATTTTGCAGATCTTCTGAAGAACACATAGAACTTCAAAGAAATCTGTAGAACTACAGAGAAATTTTCAGATCTTCAGGAAAGTTTGTTGATCTTTAAATATATTTTACCGAAGAACAGAAACAAAACTTCAGGGACGTCCGATGGTCTTCAAAGAAATGTGCAGAATTGAGTTCTTAACAGAAATTTTCAGAGCTCAAGGAATCATGTAGATCTTTAGTGAACTTTTCCCACTAACTTGGCGAAGTTTTGAAATCCATTTTTATCTTCATATCGCAGTTCTTGAAGGACAAGACGAGCCAGATCCCTGCCGGTGTTCCTCGTGAGCAACCATTTCATACTCCACAAAGTTCACCTTCTCCTTCTCATTTTATTTTAAATAATG